AGGTCACACTAAAGCGTAAGCGGAGAGGGTGAAGTGGGGGGAAGGTGCAGTACTGATAAATGGTAGTATGAAACTAAGTATTCCCGGGTGCAGTTAAACTGAAGAGACTCAAAAGTTTTGATTCTGGAGCGTAGTAGGGTGTAAAAGTTCCTTGGGAGAAGGAGTTTGCGCAAAAGCACAAGAAGGAAGGCAAACTGCATGGAAAAAATTAATTTGGTTAGGAGCACAAATCAAAAGACAGGGAGAGGTTCATATCTAATGGGAGGTTAAGCAGATTGTAATGGACGCCTCCCGGAGGCGGCTGGGGCCGGATGAAGGCTACGAATGTAGCTGCAGGTAAGGAAACGAGGTTCCATGTAGTAGTTAATCAACGCCATGGTCTCCCTGGAATACTTAGGAAGCCATGATAGAACACTCTGCTGGTTACTAACAAAATTGCACGATTTCCGCCAATGATAAGCTCGGCTTGCGCAATTTTTACTGGTGATAGCAGCTGTTGAGCAAAAATTGTTTACAGGAATGGCACCGCATGTTTTGCATCCACAAGGCCCACGCAGATTCTAGGATGCTCAGGAGATCAGCTTAAAACTGAGAGTTACGTCCATTGCAGGTGAGTAAAATTTTTCCGCAATTCGGGATATTTCATTGCATTAGGCAACGTATTCACAGTCGGTGGCGTTTATTGACCTTGAGGATTCGTGTGCCTAAACGAATCACCAGCGTAGATAACAAAGGTAACTATACCTTTCACATAGACATCCTACACTATGCATTGACATCCCTGAAAATGTCGCAACATTGGAAAAATCAATTCCATCATGCGAGTACTGAGCGGTCTCGGAGACACGAACCATTAGCCACACAATCCCCTTATCTGCAAAACCTTTGCGACTAGAGTAAAACCTTTTGCGCCAAAATGTTGCATATTGTTGCATATGTATTCAAACCAAAAATCACCATCATCTGCGCTCCTTTTTGTGGCTCACAAAATATCGTTGTCCACTGAAGCGACCATGCCCCCGGCGGAATTGTCTGGTGGAATGAATTTCCAGTATCGCTAAGACCCCGGGATGCCCGAATAGGCTCAAAACTTTTGACTGGTATCCTGAACTCAGTTGCTCGATTTCTTCAGTCCATCAGCGCACGTCATACCTTTCAAAATTTCCATTCTGTTGTGCGAACACTTAGGGCGCAACGGGTGAATGATGGATGGACGCCTTTGAACCTCGCTGCAGGGAGAGCGTTGGTTGGAATTTGGTTGGAATATCCTTGATTAATTAAGGGTCAGAATGCATTTTGATGCTGGTAATGTGTTTGAAACAGATTAACGGCTGTGCTCATATCCCTCCGACGTACCGGATGAATCTCACTCACCGAGACATGCGTATCACTGGAAATGTTGCAACCTATGCTTATAGGATCAGTTCATGCGGGTTTAGAGGGGGTTGTTTACATCGGAAAACAACAGCAAATTTAGAACACTGGCAACTTGTTATTTTAGGCATCGGTGTAAAATCTTGCTTGGCAGTTTGTTCAGGAGATAATTGACTGTGAAGGAGGCGAGAAAAGCCCTCTGCAACGTAATAATAATAATATTAATATTAATAATAATGATAATAATAATAATGCATATTCCCAACTTGTGGGTGTCATACCGCCTGACATGATCATGCGTTTACAGTCAGGCTGGGGTATGATATGAGAGGTTGCGGGTAGTGGGATTGTACGAAAAGGGGACAATGTCATAAACGGTGGGAGGTACGCGATTAAGTAATAATAATATATTTCTTTTGCAACTTGTAGGGAACAGTAGGCATGAGGTCCGACTAATTGAAAGACTCAGTCGGCTGACATGAACTAAAAGTGAAAAACCATTGCTGGCCTTGCGTGACCTTGGGCGGTTGGGTAAATGGCCGGAGTCATAACGAGCAAAAGTGGAGGTGGAGATGGGGTAATTAGAATTGGGAGAACACGGCAAGTTTAGTCTCAAAAATATGGTGCAATCTGATAACTAGCAGACCGACTGGTTACACTGTCGTTGGGAGGGTGAAGGAATGAGTTTGGATAGGGACACAGAGGTGGTTGAATTTGAACGAGTAGTCCAATAGGTTGGAATGAATGTCATGGTGGTCGTTGGGTTAATGAAACGAGTAGGCAAGAGGGCACGGTTGAGAGGATGAGTGGAACAGTTGCGGGTGTGCTATCAAACTGTGTATGGCAGTGCCGTGCCATCATGATACCGCTTAGCAAGGGGAAGGACAACATTCTCTAACAGTCAGTGGAATGGTTCTTTGTATACTAGTTAAATTGTAGCCAAAATCATGAATGTGGCTATTTTTGTACGAAAATGTAAAGAATATTATTATAAAGATGACATGACATGGAACAACCAACTCGAAATGCAGCTTGGAAGCTGAAAGGCGCGGCATCAAAACTACTTTAATTTTTGGCACACGTTGTAGTCTATAAGAAAAACCGTGCTATACTCATTCTTTTAACTCTGCCACAGCGGGGTAGAGAACATAACTGTGCGCCTTCAAACGTTTTACTCATCTATATTCTGCCGTTGATTGAAAGCATAAATGCTAGACTACAGCGGCACGATGGCTGAAGAAAATTTTATGGTCAAAAATCAAGATGAGTGGAGTGGTTCTTCAAGTGCACGAGGCAAAACATGTTTGGGCGTTTGCACAATATCAGGATGGTCAAATCCTGAAAATGACCTACGGAGACCCTGAAACCCGACTAAAGTCTTACCAGGGAAGCCGGCAAACAAACCGATAAAACACTTAGTCAACTCAACAAAAGCCGATGAGGGTTCAGGTACACTGGAGAAGCTCGATTGACAATGATAGGTGCTCAGTAATTTTGACAGAAGGAAGGTCGATGGTGATTGTCGTCACTAAACACTGATCAGACAGCATGGACCGATGTCCTGCAGTGTCCTCTAAACCGACTGATGTAATCTTCGCGCCCACTTGTTTGCAATAATTATGTGTCCACTGTTGGTGAGTCTTTTTTGGCACTAACCCCCGGAGCGGGAACGGCAGTTAGATTTAACACAAACGGGTGAATCTACTTTGTTTATATTTTATTTATATTTATACTTAGTTGGTTTATTTAGTATTGTTTATTTATCATTATTTTATCATTATTTTTTATTATTATTCCATCAGGTTTTTTATGGGATCATTCTTATGACACGCAGCAAGGCTGGGACTTTGTACAACACACCTGGTGAATTTATGTGGTTCCTGAGTGGGGCGCCGGACTCTGGACTCATAAAAACCGTGCTTCTTGAAAAAGGGGTGAATCATTATGCGGGAAGTTAACGTGTCATATTTTTGACAATTGCTAATGGTGGGTTTATTTTACACCTTTTCAAAATGAATGAAACTATTGCATGCCCCCCAACAAGTACATAGGATAAATTAAAATCAACGGTACCTGCGGCGCGCGCGTAATCACAATACTGACAAAGCTCAGTGAAATTCTGACACCTATTGCGTCAGAAATTATCCATATAAATGCTGGACGTAGTCCGTACTGGGCTATTTGAGCAAAAATCCACTTGACACATGTAAGAAGTTGCACCCGCCTGCCGTCCAGCGTCCCGGAATCTTGCGACCCTATTATCGGTGGAATCATTTCAGGTTTGCAAGTGGTGGTGGGCCAGTGAGGACGTAGTCCACTGGGCTACCACAATGCACGGAGCCAAAGAACTTTGGAAGCGAAGGGCCAGATACTTTCCAGTCTGTTGTGGAAATGGATGAAACCACTCATCCCAGGATTCTCAGTGACGTTTTAATACATAATTGTTTTCCCAGGCAGATACGTGTGTCATGAGCGAGTCATGATAAATCAACATGGAAATTCAGAAAAAAACCCGAATCCATGCGAAACCAGTCGTAAATTTCTTTATATCCCTGGACTTTTTGCTGTTATCTCAAAGTAGGCGCTGGTTTTGTTTTACGATAATTTCGACCAAATTTACCGCAGAAAGGCCGTATTTAAAAGCACGTACTAGGTTTCGTGCCCATAATACCCGTTTGCCTGTCCGCAAGCTGTGAGACGTGGTGTTAGGGAGCGGAAAGTAGGTTGGCTGCTTTGGGGAATGTTCAACTTTTATTTCTAACGGGGCGTTCCAACGATGGTTACTTCCCGAATCCACTATTTTCTGCGCACGCACGTGGGCCTCATGCATGTGGCGCGTTTGGTCATTCTGGAGGTTTCAGTGGATCTCGATGAAGAGCAGGTCTCCAGGCGCGTGAGCCGATCAGTGTCCCACTGGCGAAACTGGTTTCATGGGATTCTGACTTCACTGGAGTTACAGACGAAAGCTTTCCGTATTTTCCGAGAACTTTAAACGTGTCAAAGCCCCCTTCTGACAGCCGCCGGATCACAGGCAGCCAGCTTCAAACAAAAAGTATGTGGTCATCTCTTAAAAACAGAGCTAGGGAAAGGTTTTTCGCGTGCTATTTGTAACAGATACGGCGCTTAATTTGCTAGAGTGCTTTGATTCTGTGACACTAATTTGATTTCGGGGATCTCCTGCTGTCTTTGGGCCATGCTACTGCAACTATGTGGCACACTGTGCGGCGAAAATTACAAATGAAGATAGCTCAAACCAATTTCAACAAAAAACAAAACACACTATAGCCTTCTTTGGGAATATACACACACTAATGCCAAGTTTTGATTGTTTTGATGGACGCAGAGTCTGCGTCACTGGTTACCACACGGAAGAGTACGTAACTGGAGCAGGGACGGAATATTCTACTTGCCTAAGTAATAGGCCTGGTAGTAACTTTTGGCACGCCAACATAAAGATCTACTGATCTTCCCCACTAGCTGATATTAGCCAACTTCTTTGAGCCCTAAAATGTCCATATTTTGAATGTACAAGCTAAGTTCAATTGCAAACTAAATAAGGCACCCAGATTGTTTTAATCCTTCATTAATAAACCTTCAGATGCTGCGCACCATTACGATGTGCCCACATGTCTGGTAATTCCAAAACCGCCCGAGACGTGCCCAGGAATTTCGCACGAAGAGGAGCGATCAGACAGAAGAACATCTCAGTGGTTAAAGGGCATGAGTTCGCGGCGAGATTTCTGAAGCAGTTTACATTCTGTGGGCACTGTAAGGATTTTATCTGGTGAGAGATTTTCCGTAGAAAAAAATTCATACTGACGAAAGGGGGCTTGGTATTCAGGGTGTGCAGTGTAATATCTGTCTGTTCACGGTTCACAAAAGATGCTACACATTGGTGAATTTTCAGTGTCCTGGGGCAGATACCGGTCCGGATTCAGACGTATGTCCATAATATTCAGGTAAATATTCTGCAGTATCAACACAAACATGATTTCAATATTTGGACGTATACAACTCCGACTTTTTGCGATCATTGCGGATCGCTACTATACGGGCTTTTTCACCAAGGATATAAATGCAAAAGTGAGTTTTTTGAATGGGTGACCTGTGGCATTTTTTCTTCTCACCCGAAATTCCGCAAACATAAATACCATGGCACCTAAATTGACATAGGCAAGAGATATCCTGGGTTTTATTTCTGTTCGAATTCATGACCTACTAGTGGTGATGTGTTAATGAGGTGATTCTCCATGCGACGAAATGATTCCCCCCGTGATTGTCCTCCGTGCAAACGGGAGTAGCTTCCGAGTGTCGAAATACTGTCACATCTTAGCCGCTTGAAACGTGAAAAGATGCTTTTCAAGAAATTCAACCACTTGACAACCCATTGTCGCTTCATTAGTAGGGTGCCAATGGGGCGCTGCGCAAAAAGGCCAAGTCTCATTAATGCGGACTTTGGGTTAGCCTTATGTAACAAATATCCACCCGTAGATCATTCAAAGATACTGTGAATTAATAAGAATAGACTAACCTCAGCAATCACGTTGTGGATGCTCAACGTCTAACCAATGGCCAAAGCGTTAGGTGTGGCTGTTCTGTTCCACATTCTGTTATTAAGGCTTACCTCACACCCATCGAATCTGAGCCGGCGCGTCCTACCTACCCCCAAAACTCTAGGCTCGTTTGCGCGGATGTATCTATTCAATATATCACGTTGGTTATAACCGGTGTTGCTACGTTATGGGTAAAAACAGTGTGAAATAAGTAAGGAAATAATGGGTTAACATATAAACTTTTTAAGAAGTAAGAAAGAATACTTCATTGAGCATCAACTAAAAGTTGTAGGAGGAATGCGTGTTGTTTTAGCTTAAAACATTATTATAGAGAAATTTTACATGCACTTTTTTTGTAATCACTTGAGTGTGGCGCTGTAAAATACATACAATCTAGCTACTTAAAACATACAACTGTAGGAATGTTCGGTTCTCTGGAAAGCATGACATCACAGTCCATTTTGTAATAACAAACCAGCCGAGTAAAATAAAACTTTACTTATGCAGCGTTTTTTCAATACATACACACATTTGCAGTTTGATTGAAGATTTATACGTTGGATGGCTTCAGAAGGATAATGTACGGAGCACATCATTCTAAATTCTGAGAAGTCCAAATATTTACCACAGCCGCGAAAATTCACTGTAACTTGTTCCGCGCCAATAAGAGGTCTGTAAATTGATTCGACTCACTTGTTTAGTTCTTAATTTCTTCTAATGGTTAGACATAGCAGAAGTACGACTTTACACACTCAACTCCACCTTTCGGAATAGTACAAAAGTCAGCCCTTGAAAAAAGACCTCAAGTGTTCATTGCAATTGTTTGACCTTACTAGCATACACCTGAGAAAACCGGCTTGGAAATGATAACCCATTTATATTAGAAGAAATTGACCAGTGGTGCTTACAGCGAGAGCACTATTTGCTTCTACCCCTGACATCATCCTAAGTTACAAGCGAATGCCCATTTTGGCAGAGGTGAGCATGGTTTCCTGACCTGTTGAATTTGGTTTGGAGGCTGCCGCACATAGCACATTGAGAGATGCCCCCTTCAGCTTCTACGTAACTCTCTTGTTTGTACTGTCTTGACAACACAATAGGAAGATCGAGGCATGCTACCGTAACAAATCGGCATACAAAAGCTCTGCGCCATGTGATATTGAAAAGCTAGGTAAAACGACCCGGTGAATGTAAGAGTTTTGAGTCATACCTCGAACGGGTTTAAGGCAACACAGTGAAGACGCTGTAAGCTAGATTTACAGACGGCAACTTTTGACTTCAACACGCAGTTTCAGTGTGAGTACTGAAGAAAAACGTTGAGGACCAAACGTTTTTGAAGTAAAAACAGCAGAATCCTCTGGTCGTTGATTTAGTAAGGCAATTTCAAAACTCCGGGTAGTGGACTGACTCAGTTGCCTGAGTGTGTCCATTTTTTTACATGGTTTAGCTGAAAGAATTTTGAGTTAAAGTTGACTAAGAAGATAGGATTTTAATAACCAAGCACTAAGTTCTGTTTTATTTACGAATCAAGTAAATAACCGTAAATTTTACGAATAAATAGCCGGTCTGCTATCGTCAGTGGGTGATTCTTTGTAAAAAAAACATTTGTAAGCTGAAGATGAATGAAGGCAGGGGGAAAAAGACAGGGTATGGCACATTTGGAGTCTTGCTTGACAAGGTTATTCCTGATTCTTTTTTAACTCTGATAACAATCGAAAATTTCACCTTATGAAGTGTTCGACCAAATGTTAACGTAGTAATGATTACCAGCGTTTTTTCTTGATGAATGGCAAAGTGCGGTTCGTAAGTGGACTGTGTTTGTCGGCTTTTAAACTCATTTGCTGCGTAAAATCGAATATTTTTAGTGAGTAAAACGCCGCGCACTTAAGCTGTACTGTTTGCCAAAGACCAAAACATCCGAAAATTTTTGTTTCTGCTCTGAATTTTCGAAGGTCGCTGACAAACAAAAGTTAGAAAAATATTAGTGATCAATATGGATTTTCAAAAGGAAAACTATACCCAAATCGTAATGCGTCTCGTATGTATAAACAAAGTGCTTTGATTTGGACTTTTAATACTCAATTCTTGCTGATTCATTCGAAGGCAAAACAGATCCAAGGGCATCTATATGCCTAATGATACACACGCCGTTGTTTGAAATAAAAAAGTTTCGTGACAACCGTCATGGAGATAAATAACAATAAATTGGTCTCGTTACTGATCCACATTGATCATTTAGCTGAACATCCCGTGCAAGTGTGAGATCGTACCTGTCAGGAGATGAGCTTGGCTACTTGTACTGTGTGCTACTATGTTAAATGATTTATTCTTTGTAACAAAGATGCGTTTATTTTTTAGTGTGATGGTTTATCGGGTCCGTGAACCCATCTGTAGCCGTGCCTTTGGGACTAAGACATCAGGCAACAGGCATTGACCAGTTGTGTTAGTTGATGACTCAAACAAGAGTGGTACGGTTTCGGCGGGGTCACTCGAAGGTTTTGGGAAAAACGCATGAATATATGCTGATGTCGCACTGTTTCAGTAATTTTGGTTTATGTTGCTGTCAGTGGTAAGTTTATGACTCAACAAGGTGATTTCAGCAATTCGGCTCGCCCTTGCTGTTTCAATAACGCAGCAACATTGAGAATTTAGATTTGACTAATTACGCAATAGCGCTGAATGGCAATCCTGTGGCAAGTCTTGTGTCTCGCCTGAAGTAATGCGATCTGATGCGCAGTATGATCAAAATGCGTCTTTGAAGATATTTGGTTGGGGTGAAGTGACATTCTAACAGGAGCTTTTTCAAAAATTTGTACCGGCTTTTCCAGACTTCTAGCTGCCATAAAAATACCCGGTTTGGTTTGTCTGAAGATGTACTGAGTCACGCACGCACACAAGATGTGGTATGCTTAGAATACTTCCACGAACTAGATAGTTTAGTGCTAATTAAGCTGTCTGTACCCTTTAGTTGGAAGTCGTATTTTGTTCACAGGGGTGAAAGTGGTAAAGCTTTCCACGACACTGACAGTTTGGCTAAAACAATGCTGCTGGCGGGAAAGCAAAATTTTGCATATGAATTGGGAGAAGTAAAATCCTGCTGTAAACGCGGAAATTATGCATGCTTGGTGAGCTACAAGAAGGGTGAAACTGGCCTTTGGCTCTCAAAACCTTTCAGCGACCTCATAAGTAGCATTTAATCAATAAGAAAATGTCATTTTCTAAATGAAATTACAAGGCTGATGCTGAAAACACTCACAAATAACTGATTTTTCCGTGGGTGGCTGCGAAAGAAATGGGTGGGTTGATCTGTGTCCGCATCTGTTTCAAGCAGAAGTACCCGAGTTCAGAAACAGTTCGGAATTCTCCTACCGTGTGTCTCAGAGAGGGCGTACTGTATTTACAACAGCCTATTAACAGTTATTTGCCAAATGAATCTTATCAACAGATCAACAGATTTTAACCGATACTAGAACAGGGTATCGGAGATTTTCGGGTTAGTGTGTTTCATAAAAAGCGTGGCCCAATTTATTGCCCAAAGCACTATTTATTCGCACTGTCTAGGTACCATCAACATTCCGATATTTTTGGATTCCATGAAACAGACCCGCTAGTTAGTGGCTTGTGCATATCTGAAGACGTATATCTGTTAGTTTTGTCTTCGTTCACTGCATCATCCACGAATACTCGACACGACTGAATGACTTTATTGACCGCCGTTTACAATACATGAGCAGTTGCAGCTGAGAGGATTGGTTGTAAAACGGCTAATCAGTTCAACCAGCTTATCGGGCTTCATTACATAATTAACAAGCCCTTTCACAAATCTTGAACTGCAACATTTATAGTGTCCTTTAGTGCCACGACCTACTTTAGAGGAAGAATCCGTCACTGGTCGATTTCTGTTACAAAACTAAGGCGTAAATTTGACGAAAGATACAGGGCAAAATATGGTCTTCACTTTTTAAAATTTGAAGTTGGGTATTCAGGTTTGCAGCAGCTAAGCATATCCAAAGGTACCAACTTGGTTAGGCTACGAAGCTTGCACCGTATTTCGTATTAACACGTGAAAAAATCCGTCATCTTTTTGGGGGCAGATTGTTGTCAAGAAATTTGGACACAAGATTCGAAATAACGGATTCGGCCTACAATTTAGAGGTGAATGTTACTAAATTTTCTTCACTTGTTATGACCGTACTGTGGAAGTAGGCGGGATTTCCGAAATTTCTCAACAAGAGATGAGACAGACAGTAGGACGGAATATACCCTTCAGTCAACAAGGCAGTGGTAGTGGTTAAGGTGCTAAATGACGCTACCACTGGAGCAGTAGCTCAGGACTGTCCTTTAAACTAAATTTATCGTGCCAATAAGACATGCACAAAATGCGCAGGAGAATCAACCAAAACGAATGAAAATGGAAGCCCGCAATAGTAATAATTACGTGGATCAACAAAAGTTGGTAGAAAAGCTACAGTCCCGTGAATTGTTTCAGTGTCTGTTTTGCGGAAAGTGATATAAGGATATCAGATTACT